GCTAAGAACTTAATTTGGACAACTTTAAAGGCCATTTCCTCAATATATATATATTTTTTTGCACCCTCAGATTCCAGATTTTCAAATAGTTGTATCTCGGCCAAATATTGTCCTATCCTAACAAACCATACATCAATGGAAAGCTTATTTATTCAGCTTTCATATGATGTATAAATCTCAATTTCGAAAAATTGACCCTTATGACTGGTTTTGTGGTCCATGGTCACATATGGTATACACGGAAACTTGTGTGTCACACGATAGAATCAACCTCATTGGGTGATCATGTACATTTGAGCTTCCGTGTTTACCATATGTGATGTGCTCTATGTACATATTTGTGTCAATTGTTTTAATGTAAAAAAAAAAGTCTAAAATCTGTTCATCATATAAATCAATCGTATCTCTTCACTAAACTTGGATTAAACTTCTTGATTCATATAGATTCGTTTTACGATCTATGTTTTGAGTACCTGGACTTTCAGGATTTACTTGCCAGAAATTAACAGAAAATGTTTGAGATTTCATTAAAATATCTTAATTTGTGTTATGACGATTAATCAAAGTCTAACGGGTTTGGAATGACATCAGGGTGAGTAAATGCTGACAGAAATTCATTTTTTGGTGAACTATCCCTTTAACAGATCATGATATAGATCATCTGCTTTGGATCTCCAAGTCATTTGGCTCTTTTCATGCCAACTTATGTAAGAGTTGACAATGGGACAAATTAGTGAGAGTTTCAAGTCACAACATGAGGTCACTTTTGACTCTGAGACAGCGATCCTAAGTTAATAAATAAACGCTCGCAGCATGTGGGCTATTTCACTTCATGGTTTAACATAATGTTTGGATTGTTCCAATGTTACGTATTAGACATGATACTTATGTAATGCAACATTTGTTTTAAATAGCACCTCCCACCTCTGTGTGCTGAAAAGCAGCTGCCTCGTCATTCTGCTCCCTCAGACTGGTCCTCTTCTCCTGCGGTTGTGGAAGCAGAGTTGTAGGTGAAGATGTGGGCGGCTGTGGATTTGGAGAGGTGCTCCTTGTGTTCGACTTCTCCTCGGTCTGGTTGTTTAAGACCATCTGTCAATAACAAACCGCATTAATAATATGTTTAGCATGTATAAGATAAGAAAACAAACAAAAACACCACTTACTTTTTCTATAGTGTCCATGCGATCAAGAAGCTTTGTGGTGACTGAGTGCAATTTCAATAGATCCATGCCATAGAAGGAACCCTCCAGCAATTCCAGTATAGTTGACAGCTGTAACGATGAAGTAAATTCCGTCATGGCAAGAGCTGGTTTTATTTAAGGGGTAGGAAATGTTATGCATTCATATCCTGCAATATTTTGAACTTATTCTGGTCTATGAGATCCAACTGCAGATGATTTGGTCACCTTGATATTATCTTTCCCAGCCTGTTGCAGCTTCTTCAACCGGAAGTCACCCTCACAGGGGTTTAAAGCCGACGGAGGTGCAACGCATGCACATTTGCAGTGGGGTCCTGATGTGATGGTCTCCACCGTGTAGAAATCCTGAGGCGTCGCGTGACCATCCCGAATCCGCTGGCACGCGCTCGCGCTCAGAGGTCTGACAACACATTTACAGCCACAGTCAGAGCCTTCCGAAAGCGCTTTCACTTTGTCATAATCACCCAGCAGCTACAAAGAAAAGAGGACGGATGCATTTTCCAGCCAGCCAGCTTTGTTGCATTGTTTGTATATTGATGTGCATTTTAATGTTCATTACTGTTTTTCAGTTACCAACGTTGTGAAGTCTATTCATTTGTTTCTGGTACATTTTTGAGTAACTTTCATTAATAACATTAACAAATTTAGCCTAATTACATTCAAACAGTATGCAAATTACACAGTTTTAAAAGGCTTTTTGAAAATCTTTTGGTAACACTTTATTTTAAGGTGCCCTTGTTACATGTTACATGTACTTCCTATTATAATAACAACAATAAATTATGCATAATTGCATGCAAGTAACCCTAAGACAAACCCTAATCCTAACAATAACCATATAGTAAATACATGTAGCAAGTTAATTGATATTACTCAGTACTTGAATATATAATTAAACTGTAACAAGGACACCTTAAAATAAAGAGCTACACTTTATTTTAAGGTGTCTTAAAATAAAGAGCTACACTTTATTTTAAAGTGTCCTTGTTACAGTGTAATTATATATTTAAGTACTGAGTAATATTAATTAACAACATGTTTATTGGCCTATAGGATCAGGGTTTGGTTTAGGGTTATCGGATGCAATTATGCAGAATTTTGTGCTAATACTATAGTAATTACATGTAACGCGTAACAAGGACACCTTAAAATAAAGTGTTACCAAATAAAGTGTAACCAATGTTTTCCAACCGTGAGTAGCCTAATTTTCTGTGCGTTTCGCCGAACAGAATTTTCTTAATCTTAAAGATTTTTTTAAACAAAACACAATTTTACGATGTGCATGTGATATAAAATGGGCAATGAAGCAATAAATAATGTTAGTAATTATTATTATTATTATTTTGTGTAGGCTATCATAAAATACGATCGCTCCAGCAGTAGGCTTACTGTTGCTATGGTAACTTTCTCAGGAGCACGCAATGCCTGTTCGCGACCGTATGTTTATGCTCTGAAATGTTGTGCTTTTCTTTGAAAACTTCTTCTAGGCCTTTATTTGAATAATATATTTTTAAATCATATTTTATATGCTATTCATATGCTATCTGAATTTACTTCAGAAACGCATTATGTTAAGCATTATGCAAAGACTGACAATAAGTTATTAATGAAAGTTATCATGAAGTGTTACTAATATTGTCGGTTATAAAGAAGCTGCACAGATATAATCGTATCGAGCGCTGGTGAAGAGATTCTTACCTGACTTAATATATTTTCTTGATTATCTCTTTCAACTTGCAAAGTGTCATTCTGTTCATTCGTGTTCTCCAGAAGTCGCTGGTGTGATTTCGGAGCGGCTGAAGTGAGAGCGAATGCCACGAGCCATAAAACGCACCAGATTCCCATCGCAGTCATCGTGCAAGGTGTGATATAATCCCGCCAAACATATGCCACTGTAGATTGTGCTTGCAGATCGGGTTTTTTCCTCTTCAAAAACGATAAACCGTCAAACAGATCTCCATTTGCACTGCCCTCCAGGTGAAATAACTGAAACGGGATGAGGTTTTGCAAAAGTCCAGAAGAGGTAAAGTCCAGATGAGGGCAGGTGCCTGGTCCTCAGCGTGAAACTGGTTTGAGAAGAAGCAGGAGTGACGTGACATTTAAACTGAAATGAGGGGGGCTGGATGGAGAGACGCACGGAGCACGCTGAACGTTGCGCGCACGCATCCACAGCCGCAAATGCTCACACTATAGCTAAAACGGCACTTCCCATTGACTTTTATTTCTAGTCATAACTATAGACTATAAACTTTTTTTTTTTGAGAAAGAAAGAGAATCAACTTATGTGTCATAAGAAAAACTATTTATTTATAGTAAACTTTATTTTAAACTTTTTGTGAACTTTATTAAAGTTATATAAATTATTTATGTGGAATTTCTTAAATGTGTTTGTTGCCTAATAAAAACATTTGCATTGACAATATGGAGCTCACCTGTGCAGTGACGTCATGCACGCAGCTGCTATAGGGAATTTTGCTTTTGGACATAAAAATTACCCAATAACCCCCACATATTATTGTTTTGAATTAGTTTTAGTAAACGGGTCCATTTTATGCAAGAAGTGTGAATCAAACATTTTAGCATTGAATGCGTGCATAGGGTTAACTTTTTTCTGTTCCTAAAAGTGTAGCTAGATCAGAACATTATGCATAGCAATTGAAGTGTTACAGCGCCACCTAGTGTGTGTTAAGACACAGAAGAATACAAATACGCAGTACAAGTGCGTTCTTTTTCCTTATCTGCAAGTGCCAGGTGTTACACTAATATTATTAACCAATAGTGGTCAGTGTTGCTCCATAGTACTGTTGTTGCTGCGTGACATAGAACCAACCCACTCTCTGGGGCCCTTAGTGGTCCAGTTTACTCTTTTTACTTCCAGAACTGGTGGTAGTAAACTAAGTTTAGTGTGACTGATATGTCACTAAAACAAGTAACTGAACAAGTAACACCATGTCACTTAAACAAAAAAGAAAAGAAAAAGAAAACTGTTCACATTAACCAAATTAACCAAACTGTTATAACAAAAAGCTCCAATATGAAAGTATGGAAATTATACAAATAAATAAATAAAGACAAGAACAATAATATTAGTTATAATATTATTTTTACAACATTTTATTTAATTTCTTTAATTAAATTATTTAAATTATTATTTTTAACTAATATTAAAGCATATTTTGTCCCATAGAAGTGCACATTTGTATATTTATAATCATACTAATAATATTTCGCATTATTATACAACAATTATGAATTTGATAACTCTGGATGAGAAATTATTACAAATATTTAGGTAAATACATCTGAAAGTCACACTGAAAACAATTTATCAAACGACACCAGCTGGTTCTCACGCAACCCAGTGAAACGTCAAAATGAGTACTGTACCTTTAAGTCACAATGTTATTATATTATACACGGGAACATTCTAATGATTTCTCTTTTTGTGTACTATCAAGATGATATACAATCCTTAACTCATTTATTACATGTATTATGTACTATGAGCTGTCCTTTGTCCCCCTCTTCACTTCAGCTTTATGAGTTGACTGGCCCTTTAAGAAGCGTCGCCTGTGTTTCCACTACTACAACACACAATATACAGCAGTACTACACAAGCCTCCGCGGAGCGGAACAGACTATCACACACAGACTGCATATCCACGGACGAGCATATCCATTTTCGGTACCGTTTTTGATTGTAACAACATGTAGTTCATGACAGAAGAATCCGTTAAGACTGTATTATCATCGTTAGCTTGGCTTTCTATTATAAGCAAAGGGGATTCCATCAGTGGCTAACGGCTATCAGCTCTAACAACAGAGGTTCACCAGAGATGAGCAAATAAAAGTAATGCTCCTCCACAGCGTATGACCAAAGGCATTATCGAGCGGTAACAGGACTGCTAGGAATCGACGTCAAGATGATGAAGAAAAAAAAGTTTAAGTTCAGAGTTGATTTTGAGCTGGACGAGCTGTCGTCGGTTCCGTTCGTCAACGGAGTTCTATTCTGTAAAGTCCGCCTGCTTGACGGCGGATTCTCGGAGGAGTCATCGCGGTAAGGAGGCTGTGAGATGTGGAGGGATGGAAATGGTTTATTATTATGGCTATGGGTGATACTGGGCTGTTTTTATTCTTTATTGCTTTTTAATAAAGCATAACCAAAACAATATATGTCATAGTGCGCGTATATAGAGCTGTGGGATGAAATGTGACTGGCCCTTTAAGAAGCGTCGCCTGTGTTTCCACTACTACAAGACAACACACAATATACAGCAGTACTACACAAGCCTCCGCGGAGCGGAACAGACTATCACCCACAGACTGCATATCCACGGACGAGCATATCCATTTTCGGTACCGTTTTTGATTGTAACAACATGTAGTTCATGACAGAAGAATCCGTTAAGACTGTATTATCATCGTTAGCTTGGCTTTCTATTATAAGCAAAGGGGATTCCATCAGTGGCTAACGGCTATCAGCTCTAACAACAGAGGTTCACCAGAGATGAGCAAATAAAAGTAATGCTCCTCCACAGCGTATGACCAAAGGCATTATCGAGCGGTAACAGGACTGCTAGGAATCGACGTCAAGATGATGAAGAAAAAAAAGTTTAAGTTCAGAGTTGATTTTGAGCTGGACGAGCTGTCGTCGGTTCCGTTCGTCAACGGAGTTCTATTCTGTAAAGTCCGCCTGCTTGACGGCGGATTCTCGGAGGAGTCATCGCGGTAAGGAGGCTGTGAGATGTGGAGGGATGGAAATGGTTTATTATTATGGCTATGGGTGATACTGGGCTGTTTTTATTCTTTATTGCTTTTTAATAAAGCATAACCAAAACAATATATGTCATAGTGCGCGTATATAGAGCTGTGGGATGAAATGGTATGTTTCTTAAAGATTATTAGTCTTTTACGGTCATGTTTAAGATGTATAATTGTCCATTGTTTCAGTCAAGGTTGAAGTCAACACTTTTGTGTTTTTGTAGTGACATGTCAGTGACATTTTATGTGACATGTCAAGCTGTTATACATAGAATGTTCATGTTATAAGGTGTTTACTCAAAATGAATTAATTTCATAATAATATCTAGGCAAATTAAAACCTCAGCAGAACTTCAGGTGTCAAAAACCTTGCCCAAGCTACTTGAATATCAGAATATCATATTTTAATACATAAAAGAAAGTTTAGACCTTAATGGCGTATAAACAGTATGCCATGCATGCCCTACATTACTTAATTTTTACTTAAGAGGAAATAACCCAGTGCTCTTGAAAGCTGACATGTCATCTGTGTAAAAGATTAGTAAGTAATTATAGTATATCAGAGGGCATGATCATAAAAGCATAATCATAAGTAAGTGGATTGCTCTTGAAAGTTGTCAGTGTGTAAATGAAGATGTCACTGACGTTGACAGTTAAAATGTAACACTAAAACCTGAACTAAAAAGTCACTTTAACTGACTGGCAAAATGAATTTTTAGTAAGAAAAATCAACAAAAGTGGGCTAATATTTGGTCTTGGTTTCCTTACTGTTTTCAATTTTTATCTTTTATCAATAAATGCAATATATTAAGCATATCCTGCGTGCTTTTTGCAATTCACTTCATAGCAGTTCTTGTGCTGAGTCACTTAAGGCCACACATTGTAATTGTAGATGTGTGTATTTGATGTGTAAATGTGCTGTGCTGTTCTCAGACCTGCACACAGGTTGACCTGCATGCAGGATGTTAAAGGGCTCATATGATGTTGCTAAAAAGAACATTATTTTGTGTATTTGGTGTAATGAAATGTGTTTATGCGGTTTAAGGTTAGGTAGGCGTGGTTGACTCTTAACTTTTATAAAGAATATCTCTTTGGATTTGAGACTTTAGTCTTTGCAACTTTACAGATCTTCTTTATGCACCAAGAGCTTGTAACACTCCAAAGAGAAAGGAAAAATTGAAATCGCATCATATGACCCCTTTAATGCATCACGTCTGAGGGGGCGGATTTAAATGTAGAGCAGTGAAGAGAACTGTGCAGTATTACAGATTATTACTGTCTTTTATGACGCCATGAGAGGTGCAAATGTGTCAATCAGTTGCTGGACCTTCCAAAATTATTCTACATTTATCTCTGCATTTGGCAGATGCTTTTATCCAAAGCGAGTTACATAGCATTCAGGGTATTTATCAGTTCATGCATTCCCTGAGATTCAAACACTTGAGCTTGGCATTGATAGCATCATGCTGTTTGAGCTCCAAGACTATTATCTCACTCATGTTTCTATTCCCATTTTAGTATCTCAGTCCAAAACAGACTAGATTTTTAAAAGGCCCCGTGACATTGAACATTATACATTAGCACCCAGCCGAGAGGAAAAAAGGGCTGCAACAAGTGATTAATAATAATAAAATCAATTATGAAACTGACAACTAATTTTATTGTTGATTAGTCGGGTTTGTGACTTGATATTGTGACTTGAATATTTTGAAACTATTAGTATATTGCATATATTTAGTAGACTTAAATGTGCACTGATTAAGATGTGGAATATCCAATAATAAATAATTGACAGATTACCCCGAGGCCTAAAAAAATGTCTCTTCCCTCTCAGTAGACATCACAAACTCTTTGTCTCTGTCTTGCTGCAACATTTGTCATTCACTCTTTTTTGGAGCTCCGCAATACAAAGGCTTCCCACAGTTAAATATTAATATGTCAGGCAGTGAAAGTGGGCTGTCAAACTTCACCATGACAAATTCCCTTCATACAACTCCCTGACAATGCATAAGCAAGTAGCTTATTCATCCAAACAGAAAGAGAGCTGTAGACCAAAACCACAGCAGCTTAGAAGATCAAGCTTGGGTTTGCATGAGTGCTTGCTTCTCTTTTCCGTTATGCAGTTTGCAGGGAGTGTCTAAGGTTTGTGAGTTTCTTCTCCCTCCAGACTTGAGTTTGCCTCCATCTGCCTGTGGTGATGATCCTTTTGAAGAACTCCTGTTTCATTGCAGACATCCTGTGGGACAACCTAAGGAAAGAGCACACTGAACCAAAGCACTCCTGCTCTCTTTCGCTCAGCTGACTTTGCCATGGCAACGGCATATATTCCAAATACG